TTATTGACCCTGAATTTCACTTCGTGACTAAAGCCAAAAAACACACCTGTTTGCTCAGAAAAAATGGATTAATTCTAGTCAGTTTTAGGCTCAGTTTTCTTAGGCTCAGGTGCCAGGTTAACCCAGTGAATAGAGCCCAACCTTATATTTTCAAAGTATCTTTCACATTTATAGCACAGTCTGAAGACCTTTGCAACCAATTAATAACTATTGAATTGTAGCCAAATGCTGGAGCAAAGTTGTGCACAATAAAATCCAGCAAAAAATTAACAATACAAATGAAATGTTGGCTTGTGTGTGTTAGCTGAGCACTAAGCATTATCCAGGATAGCAAGATAGAGTCTCTATGATGTTCTTTGGGAACTTTTCCATCCACCTGAGAGGGCAACTGGGGGCATGTTTAAATAGGTTCCCATTTCACCTCTCAACTCCTGGCTGTTATTGGGCCACATGTACTTTCCTCAACTTTTTGATTTCTTGTTTATTAATTTGTTCATGGAATGTGAGTGTCACTGGCTTGGCCAGCATTTAATGCTCGACGGTAATTGCCCTGGAACTGAATTTGATTGCTAGGCGGCACGGTGGCTCAGTGGTTAGCACTGCTGCCTCACAGCGCCAGGGACCCGGGTTTGATTCCACCCTCAGGTGACTGTCTGTGTGGAGTTTGCACATTCTCCCCGTGTCTGCGTGGGTTTCCTCCAGGTGCTCCGGTTTCCTCCCACAGTCCAAAGATGTGCACGCTAGGTGGATTGACCATGGGAAATTGCCCATAGTGTTCAGGGATGTGTAGATTAGGGGGATGGGTCTGAGTAGGATGCTCTGTGGATCGGTGTGGACTTGTTGGGCCAAAGGGCCTGTTCCCACACTGTACGGATTCTATGAAAAGTCAACCATATTGATGTGGGCCTGGAGTCATATATAGATGAGCTCAATTAAGTACAGCAGATTTCCTTTCCTAAGTGAACCATATGGGTTTTTACAACAATTGACAATGGTTACATGATTAACATTAGGCCAGTTTTTTAAATGCTCTTAGATACAACTGAACAACTTTTTTTAACGCATCTCAAAATCACCGTGGTTTTCTTTTCATCTATTACCCACCGTCAGTGTTTTCCAATTGGTTAATTTATGTGCAAAACCCATTAAGGGCATTGCAAACCATCAAAGTTGGCGAAAAAGGGGAAAGGGCTAAATCCAAACGGAGATGGAAGGGAAAATAAAACACTGTATCTCCTGTAGAGATAGTAAGAACTGCCGATCTGCCGATGCTGGAGTCAGAGATAACACAGTGTGGAGCTGGAGGAACACAGCAGGCAGGCAGCATCAGAGGAGCAGGAAAGTTGATGTTTCGGGTTGGGACCGTTTCTGAGGAAGGATCCCGACCCGAAATGTCAACTTTCCTGACCCTCTGATGCTGTCCAGCCTGCTGTGTTCCTCCAGCTCCACACTGTGTTATCACTGTATCTCCTGTGGTGTCCAATTCTCTCTAAAGAGATCGAGAGTACTGTTGGACACTGTGTGCTCCCTGTCCCAGGCACATACATAGTCACTGAAGAGGGGCAGACAGTTAGCAGCTACTACCCCTCCTCCAATGCCAGATTTTTAGTTTTAGATGTCTTTATTGAATTCATCTGCCAAGGTAGGATTTGAATACATGTCTCCAGAACATTAGATTTGCAATTCAGAACCTGATTAGGCAGCTTGTGTACAACACAAATTTATAAAATTCTAGTTTGGCCTCAGCTGGTGCATTGCTTTCAGTTGCAGTACTGCACTTTCAGAAGGATTTCATACTATGATACAGCACAGAAATAGACCCTTTGGTCCAACCAGTACTTGCCTACCATGTTTCCAAACTAAACTAGTCCCACCTGCTTGGTCCATATTCCTTCAAACCTTTCCTATTTATGTACTTTTCCAAATGTCTCTTAAATGTTGCAACCATACCTCCATCCACCACTTCCTCTGGAAGGGCATTCCACGCATGAATCACTCTCTGTGTAAAAAAAGTTGCCCCTCATGTCCTTTTTAAATTTTTCTCCTCTCACCTTAAAAATATGCCCCCTAGTCTTGAACTCCCCAAACCTAGGGAAAAGACACCTACCATTCATCTTAACTATGCCCCTCATGATTTTATAAACCTCCATAAGGTCATCCTTCAGCCTCCTACGCTTCAGTGAAAAAAGTCCCAGCCTATCCAGCGTATCTTTATAACCCAAACCCTCCAATCCCGGCAATACTGTGGTAAATATTTTCTGAACCCTCTCCAGTTTAACAACACCCTTCCTATTATACGGTGAAGGTACAAAAGGGACCCACTAGAATAGTGTTCTGGGTGAGCTATGTGTGGAGACTGGGCAAATTAAGGTTGATCTCCTTAGAACGCGACAAGTTAAAAGGAGAATTGAAAACCATGAATGCTAAGTAAGAGGGGTGGTTTCCACTGGCAGAAGTGTTAATACCTGAAGTTTACGGATTTAATGTGAGGTGACAAAAAAAATACAAGGAAGTGATATGAGGAGGAATGTTCCAAACTGTTGTGACCTGGAATATTGCTGGATTGTAGAAGCAGATTCAATCATAACATTTCAAGGAGAGTTAGAAAAAGAACAAATGAGGGAAACTGTTGCACCATGGGAAAGGGTAGGGGTTCCGAATGAATTAGATGGGCAGAATATACTCCCTTTCTCTAATTCTTGCGTCAGTTCCACTGACTCACAGGAGGCCAAATCTACCCTGGGACTCATGGTGAAGCTTATTCAGCAACTCATCATTCTTTTTGTTAAACTTTTGACATCTGTCATGGAAAATTCTTTTTTGTCCTTGCTTGTTATTGCAGCACTGATGGGATTTGGTCGTCTGGTGTTTTTTTTTCCCCCCTAATGCTTCGGGACAAGATTCCACGCTGATGTGGAAAGATGTTTATGGGAGATTGTGGTTCACGTCTCAGCTCTGTGAGGTTGCAGTATCCTCCAAATCCGAACCTCATGCCGAGCACGAGTTTACAGCTCTGGCTCTAGCTAACCAGAACGCAAGATGTAAACCAAAGAAACACACAAACACACGTGACATAGAAAGTGAAAGGTAAAACGAACACAGAGAAACAGAAGTATTGTACAGTGCCGTGAAAATCCACAAAGGAGCAGATCTCTTGCCAAACATCATTGTTTGAGTAAAATACCTCAACAAGAGCATTTTTTCTGGAGTGATGTAGGGAGTTGTGTTTTGGGGGTGGATGGGGGAATGAATTTTGGAAGTGGTAATTTCGCTGGTCTAACAATCCAATTTGTACTGGGGGCATTTTAAATCCCACCACGGGCAGGCGGTGAAACTTGAACTCAGTATGCATCTTTGTCAATTTTTGTAAAAGCCTGTCGGCTTCACCAATATCCTTCTGAGAAGGCAATCCTTACCTGGTCATGCTTACATGTGATTCCAGACCCACAGCAATATGGTCGATTTTTAATACGTTCTGGGCAATTAGGAATAGACTGGCCATGTCAGCGACACCCACATCTCATGAACGAATAACAAAGTATTGTGTCCAACGTTAACTTTTTTTAATGTCCTTTTAAATGTGTTTTTGTTTTCTCTCCAACTCCTCACCTCCACAAAGTGTAATGCATCGTCTGAGGAGCCAATCTAGTCCAGCTTTAGAAAGGCAATGCCATAAATACTCGAAACAAATGCAGGGCAGTGTGTGTTGTGGAGAACAGTAAAAGGAACGGCATTGCACTTTCAAAGGGCGGGCAGCTGCATAATGGACCGAACAGTCGCTTCAGCCAATGAAAAGAGCCGCTGATTTCAGCCTTGGGGTTGTGGAATTTGCTCTCACTGGGGCGTGGGTGTCACCTATAAATGGAGATTGTGATAAAAGGAGGGGAAGAGAAAGCCTCGCAATAACATCTCCCCACTTTCGCACCAGCGAAAAGAATCAAAAGAGAAAAGTTACGCTTTAAGAGGAAGGGGAATGTGTTTTAAAAACAAATGTTTAAGAGTGAATTGTCTCTGGCCAGTCCAGGACAAACATCGTCAGTTCTGACCAAGTGTTTCGGCTCGAAACGTTGACTTTCCTGCTCGTCGGATGCTATCTGACCTGCTGCGCTTTTCCAGCTCCACATCTATTGACCGAGGACAAATATAATTTCTCTTTGTTTTGATAACAGGAATGGGAGATTTCCAGGTCTATTAATATTATCCAGTGAAAACCCTTTACCTACTTCGAATTAATTTTGGCCTTGCTCTTTTTAAAAGCTTATTATTTTCAGTCCATTTACAAAATGGGACAGCCAAGTTAAAAGTACATCACTGGCCGTGACTAATTTGAAACTTTAATTTTAGAAATCTGTTGATTTTCAGCCGTCTTGATGTTTTACTGAGCGTTGAGTGAGATGGTGGGGGCCGAGTTCTCATTTCCTTTTCTATTTAATTAGCCCGTTTCGGTTTGCTCTGAAATGTGTACAATACGAAATCTCCCCGCAATCTCCTGCCATCGATGCAAAACATCAGCCACCTCCAGCGGGATTCCATTTTCAGATGAAAGTATTATTTTTATGTGTGTGTGTGTGTGTGTGTGTGGGAGGGAGGGGGGAGACTGGAATTCCGAACTCTCTACACCCTTGATGTCCTTCCCTCTGTTCTTTACTGACCAGCTACATGGTGTTTTTAACGAACCAAAATGTCCAACTGACTCAAAGGCTATAAATATAATTGTAGATTAAAAAGAGAATTAAACCGCACACAGGAGACCGTTCCGCCCATCGCGCTGCTTCTATGAGTGTGCTGCCCAACTCTTAAGCCTCAATGACCTGCTCCTTCTATGATTTTGAGGTGCTGGTGTTGGGAGTGGAGTGCACAAAGTCAGAAGCCACACGACACCAGGCTATAGTTCAACATTGTCACGGAGTTGTCTTGAGGAGTGACATTTTACACACACGCAACATGAGCTCTCGTTATTTTAAGACGCCTTACGTAAAATGAACAGAAATAGGCAGCGGTTTGAAATTCATCCAGTTCCTTTATATTTACATAATACAATAACTTTTATTACAAAATATTATATACATTTACTTCAAGATCAAGTCAGATAAAATACAATTATTAACTACAAGACATCTAGCCTTGTCTAGTGTAACTCCGAGATGGGACAGACATTGCATGTGAATTATTGCACCTCAGTTGCTGTGGGATCTCTCTGTGCTTTTCACCGGTTGAGGTCTGGAGGAGGAAGGGGGGGGACCATCAGCCGGTTGTCGTCGGTCAGAAAAACGCAACATTCGCTCGGACCCATCGGCGGGTCCACTCAACTCAAATTTTTTGTTTAGAAAAAGCGGACACAATAATAACAAAGATATTGATTCGATTCGAAGCTTACTGAATACAAGGCTACAACTGTGGGCAGTGTTAACTAGCCGCGTTCCGTACATCGACTGAATTCTCTCAGTTACTAGAAAGCGCCAAAAAAAAGGCTCCGGCAACTTTCTCTGTGTAACCTCGTCCCGTGTTCTTTTTTTTTAAAACAAATGGCAGGACTTGTTTTGTCTGGCATCGAACACAAACATAGCGCCAATGTAAACTGTATACATTTGACCCTGTCACTAAAATCATTCTTCTACGCAGTGAGTCACGAGGGACACTTGTCTTCATAAACAGTTACTGTGCCCAGTGTCTAAGGATGGAGTTTCCCCATCCCAATGTCTCTCCATCGCCTGTTCCAATTTGCCCACTGCCTCTTGTTTCTTCTTCGCTGCCCATTTACAGGGCGGTAGTTCCAGCTACAAATCCCCAATGAAGTGTCCATCCTTGGTATGTTATTAAATAATTGCCTTTGGTTTTGAGAAACACTTTTTTGTTTGTAAATATTCTAACTTTTTAAAGGCAGTCTGTGTGTATGTGTGTGTGTGGGGTGTTGCTGCTCAGATGTGTCTCTTCATGTGCAGGGCTAGGTGGTCCGATCTGGAGAACGCTCTCTCGCACATATGACACTGAAAGGGTCGGTGGCCGGTGTGTTTGCGGTAGTGACGGGTCAACTCGTCGGAACGGGCGAATTTCCAGCCGCATCCTTCCCAGGTGCAATGATATGGCTTCTCACCTACAGACAGACAGAGAGAGAGAAACGGAGGGAACAAAATCTGGTTAAAACCTTATCAAACAATCGACTACACACACGGAAAAGCGTTACGGCATTATGGAGGCGTTTAAAATTAAAATTAATTTAAGCAATTAAACTCGAACAATGACGAACTGTTTGGCTGCGGGGGACGCGATAGGCGCTAGAGCAATGCAACTTTTGCAGAATTTTTTTCGGCAGATAGAACGAGGTTGGCTTTGCCTTTACCTGTGTGTGTCCGGAGGTGTGCCTTCAGGTGAGAGCTCTTGGTGTAGGTCTTTCCGCAGCCGGCGTAGCTACAGGTGTGGGTAGCTGTCCTCTTCCTGGGCCAGGATCGCCGGCCTCTCTTGGGCTTGCTGTCAAGAAGTTCGAGGGGGGACGACGGCGGAGTCAGCATGACCCTCTGAGCCGGGGAAGGCTGCAGGGGTACCGGGTCATCGAAGAGGCCGTACTGGTTGGGGTAGTGGAGGTGCTGATGAGGGAAGGGGTAGCTGGGCTGGTACAGCATCCTGCTGGGGTGGCAGAGAGGTGGGGGCTGCTGCTGTTGTTGTTGTTGGCATTCCCCGGAGTTCATTAGGTCCCCGGGGCTGAGGGGGGGTGTCACATTGCCCCCGGCCTGCGGGGAGCTACCCAGGCGCTGCCGCTGCTGCTCGTTGTAACCCACCAGGCAAGACACGGCGTCCTCCCGTTTAACCCGGAGGCAGGCCGGCTCTGGCTCCATGCTCACCCCACCGTGACCGTAACCATCCAAACCCGGCTCACTCTTGGCAGGTTTGGCCAACTCCTGGCTGGGGTAGACCGGGGTGAGCACGAAGCGGCCCTGCACCGCGTTGTAGTCCGTGTCCGAGCGCATTAGCTCGGCCATCATACTGTAGGCAGGAGGCTCCCCAACCTCGGGCACGCTGTACGCCAGGGAGTTACTCTTCTCGTAGAAAGGGTTGACATCTCCTCCTTCAGCCAGATGATACTCCGCTCCCCCGGCAGGCTCACTGCACATGGTGTTGGAGAGAATAAAATCCACATCCAGCAAGCTCAGGTCATCATCTGTATCGTTGGCCCGCGTGAAGTTCTCCAAATATTGTATAAAATCCGTCATGGGGCAGTGATTCTGAGGCTGCTTCAGGCCCGGGTCGTTTTTCCATTTCTGTGCAAGGAAGAAATTTAAAATAGGAAACAATTATTAAGACTCATCTTGCAAATGCAAAGATAAAATAAATCTGAAACGCGTTCATGTAAATCTCTGCATTCAATTCGCCTTGAAGGCAGGTGTGTGTTTACATCATTTGAGAAAAAGTTATAAAAGTGTCCTTACATTGCAAGACTCCTGTCTGTCCCAGGTCTTGGGGGCTGCGAATGTAGAAATGGATGGCAGGATGGTGCCGCTCAGAGCCATATCTGCCTCTCAAAACCCGAACTGGTTGACTTCAGTAGGAGAAGGTTTGCATGGAAAAATGGGGCTCCCAGCTGCTACTCGCTTTTAAAACAAGAGTCTCCAAAAGTTCTAGCAGAGGGGACTGCGAGCTCGGATTAAGTACAGTACTGGTTTAAAGTTGTTCAGCGGGAGCCTGCGATTGGTAGGATATCAGCAAGTTTGCCGAGAACTTGAACCAATTGCAGTTGGCTCAGGAAACACGTCCAGGATGAGAATCGTACGCGAGTAAATGGCCTAAATTTAGCAGTAGTATATAAAGCGAGCTGGTCGAGAGAGCGAGTGAACCATCTCCAAGCGCCGTCCGCGCTTCTTAAAGCTGTCAGAGTTGCTGCGTCTCCATAGGGACGAACCAAACAACACACACACTTACAAAACATGGACTGACGCCAAGGTGACGCACTAACTATCCGGATAGCCCAGGTTTTTATGTATATCACGCCCACACCCAGTGTTAGAATGCAAAGAGGGAAGAATGTATCAATCAAAGTGCAGGGCTCCCCCTCCCCCCCCACCCCCTCCTGCTGTTTGTAAATAATCTAGTGTGGCAACTACAGTCCTCACACACTTGAGTGTGATCGTGTTTTGTTTGTTTTGTTTTAAACAGCAAAGTTATTGGAATAAATGGGAATGGGGTAGGGGTGGGAGTTCCAGTCTACAAACACAACTCAAACACGACACCGAGTGCAGGGAATCCCAGACTCTCACTGTAAACCCCGGGTGGAATGTGTTCCTTCTCCTGGAGTTTGTTTTAATTTCTGTCTCTTTGGATCTATTCTCCACACACACAAAAAAAAGTTCGATGTTATTTTTTCGAATATGCCGTGCCTGGTTATGTAGACGCGTTAACAATATTAAGCGGTTCTGAAAGTGTTTGGGGGTCTCTGGATATTTGTATTCATTGCTATGACTGAGCGTCTCAGTATTGAACAGAAATCCGGAAGAATGTTTAATACTAAATACAATCGGCAGAGGACGCCTCCCATCCATTTACAGGCCCAGATCAGTACGGCTTTCTTCCTCATTCTTTCTCACACACTCTCCAGTCACACATACATTTTCACATACACCAAACACATCACATATATTGTCTTTCACAAACACATATGCATTCTCTCACACATCATCTCACATGCTGTTACACACATGCATATTCTTAACCACACACTCTCTCTTACACACACACACTCTTACACTCGAACACATTCAGCATCTGGGAATTCTCTAAGACCCCAAAGCCCGTCCACCAACAACAAGGTACAAGTCAGGAGTGTGATGGAACACTTTCCACTTGCCTGGATGGGTGCAGCTTCATGAAGGTTAACGCCAAGCAAGACAAAGTGGCCTGCTTGATAGGTACCACATCCACAACTTTTAATATTCACTTCCGCCACTGATGATGTAGCAGATCCCACAACCAAATCAGAATCATGTCCATTGCTGAGTGTACCATCTACAAGGCATATTACAGGATCTGAACAACGCCACTTTGCCAACACCTTCCAAACAAATCACACCCACCACCCTAAAAAACAAGAACAGCAGATACATGGGAACACCATCACCTCTAGATTCCCCTCCAAGTCACTCACCACCCTGACTTGAAAATATACCACCATTCTTTCATTACTACTGATATCCACCCTCTATGGATAGCAGCCCACCTTCTGGATTGACTTTACCTGACGAAAGAGCAACGCTTCAAAAGCTTTCAAATAGACCTGTTGGACTATAACTTGGTATCATGTGAGTTCTGACCTTCTGGATTAGTGATGGGCAATAATGCTGGTCCAGCCAGTTACACCCACATCCCAAATAAAATGAACAAATAAAAAACAATCTGTCACACACACTTCCATACGCATTCTCTCACACACACACACACATTCTCTCACACAAACTCCCATACACATTCTCAC